CGCGCCGCTCCCCGGGGGCCAGCCCCTGCAGAGGCGGGGTGACCGCCACCGGCTGCGGGCCTGGCTTCGAGCGGAGCGGGGCGGGCGTGGGGCGCCGCCGGGGCCCACGCGGGTCCGTGGGTTTGTCGAGTCACCCTCGGAGAAGCGCCTGCTCTCAGGGTCTCTGGTTGTCACCGGTACGGTGGCTTTGCCTGGGGCGAAGGGACAGCCGGGCACCCTGCAGCATCCTCCTCCTGCCGTGGGAGAAGCATCGGCCCCTTCCTCGTCCGGGCGGGGGCTTCAGCCAAAGCGGACCCACGCGTGCCAGCGGACCCACCGGCCTGGGGACCTGCGACCTGTCCCCTCTGCGCTCCTACCCCCGGGGGACAGGGAGGGCTGCCTTTCTTCCCCCGCACAGAGCCGGCGGGGTTTTCCCCTTCCCCAGAAACCTTTGAAGAGGATTTGTAGCACAAGCGTGGGGCTTCAGTAGCCTAGAAGCAAAGGGTGGGGTGGCCAGGAAGAGTCCTTGGAGATGTTGTCTAGGAAAAAAAGAGATTTCCCTTGGCTGTGAAGGTCCCTGCGAAGCCCTGCACCGTTGTGAGGGTTGATCTCCTACAGTTCAGCGAGGCACTGGGGTGAGATCTGGGCTGTCCAGCCCCTGAGGGCTGCGGTGCTGGAAACACCAGGTCTTCAGGTCCAAAAGCTTCTGAGACACCTGGTGCTGATGGTCACCCCGGGGGTGCGTTGGGAGCGGCTGTTCCTGCCTGTCCTGGTGACACAGTGTTTCTGCTGCACGCGCGGGTCGTTCCAGTTGAGCCCAGCCTTGACCTTTACCCGGGAGCACATGCACAGCAGCTCTTGCAGAGCTTGCAGGAATCGGGGCTGGAAATTGGGAAGCGAGCCGTGACACTGAGTCTCGTGCTTGCAGAAAGGCGAGTCCTACCGTGAGGCTGCAGCTCCCCAGCCCTGCGGCCAGGGCTCAGTCCCCCGTCCGACGGCAGTGGTGTCCTCGCCCTGAATTTGGGGGACGAGAGGTGAGTTCTCCTGCTGTATCTCTGCTGGCATGAGGACACCTGTGTGCTGTGACCCCCAAGCTGAGACCCAGGGAACTCATTTCCTCTGTGCCGCCCATCTGATGCCCAGGTTGTCCCTTGTTAACATACCTTAATTAACATTTACTGTGTCCTTCTTCATCCCGTTCTAGGAGCAGTGAAGTGCCTGACCCCCGCGCTGCCGCAGTCCCAGCCTGCCTGTTTGCTGCCCTCCCGGCCTGATGGAGCCAGCGCTGGCAGAGGACCCTCCTCAAGGCGGCTGGCTGAGCCCGGTGCAGGAGCACTAGTGGGACGTGGACGGTGGTGTGTGCCACCCTAGCAGGGACAATGGCTCAGAGCACCGGGAGCATCAACAGTGACTACAAGGACTGGGAGTGGAGCGCTGACGCCGGGGAACGGGCCAGGCTTCTGCAGAGCCCCAGTGTGGAGACAGTGCCAAAGAGCGGAGAGAGCCAAGGAAATGGTCTGGGGGCCACGTCGGCTCTGGGAGCCGTCTTCATCGTGGTCAACGCTGCCCTCGGGGCTGGGCTGCTCAACTTTCCCGCCGCCTTCAGCATGGCCGGTGGTGTGGCCGCGGGCATCGCACTGCAGATGGTGAGAGGGAGGGGAGGGGACGTGGCGGGGGCGTGTGGAGCCCCAGAAGGGGCTCAGGGAGGACGTGGCTCCTGGGAGGAAGCCCTGTTGGGTGAGGGACCCCGGAGATGCTCTGTGTGTACGAGGGTGGTTGCCTGAGGTGGCTTTGGGGACCTCATCACACCGTTGCCTCACCGTCCCCTCCCTGCCTCTTTCCCCACCCCAGTGCATGCTGATCTTCATCATCGGAGGCTTGGTCATCCTGGCGTACTGCTCGCAGGCCAGCAACGAGCGGACCTACCAGGAGGTTGTGTGGGCCGTCTGTGGGAAGGTGCCTGGCGTGCTGTGTGAGGTGGCCATCGCCGTCTACACCTTTGGCACCTGCATTGCTTTCCTCATCATCATCGGAGACCAGGAGGACAAGAGTAAGTGTGTCCCACGGGGGAAAAAAATAACCAGTTGCTGTCCCTTCGGCTGGAAGGGGACAACCTGACCGCCCCGGTTGCCCCCACAGTCATTGCTGCTCTGGTGACGGAGCCCGAGGAAGCTGGGAGCAGCCACTGGTACACGGACCGCAAGTTCACCATCAGCATCACTGCCTTCCTCCTCATCCTGCCCCTCTCCATCCCCAAGGAGATCGGCTTCCAAAAATATGCCAGGTGGGTGGAGAGAGATCTCTGGGCTGGGAGCTGGCATGGGCCAGCCCGCACCCACCTAAGCACGGTCCCAGGGGACAGGGAGTGGAAACACCGTGGTTCTAGCGCCGTATCTGCCCGCTTCCCCCTGAGGGGTTGGACATCTTCTCCTCTGCCTTCCCATGCCTCGATTTCCCCATCTGGGAAGCAGAGGAGCTACTGAGCACCATGCAGCCGCAGTGTCATATTCTGGGGCTTGTGTCCCTCCCTTCTGCTCGCTGGAGGAAGCGGGGAGAGCTGCTTTCAACTGTGTTGTCCCCTGTCTTTGGAGTTGGCCATCCAGCAGGAAGGAGAGCCAGTAAGGATCCCTAGGCCGGGTGGTCTGCAGGCCAGGCCTGCTCCACCAAGCACCTTGGTGCCACCTGGCTGCTGGAGCTGGACCAGGCCTACCGAGGAGTGTCATTTCTTTAACGCTCGCCTCTTTCTCCTGCCCCAAACCCAGTCCATTCCCTTGCTGGCAGGTCTGCTAATCACAAGCCCCTGAGCACAGCGGCATTGTGTTGGCATCTGCACTGGGGACAGTGGGTGACAGTGCCTGGCATATTCCCATGGGAAAGGAGAGTCCTGATGGGAAGGATTGGGGTGGCCTGGGCTGTGCAGGGAGGAAGATGGGGCTGGAGAGGCTGGGAGGAGACCCTCCGCAGAGCAGGGAGGCAGCACGCTGACGGTCTCTTGTCCCCTCTTGCAGCTCCCTAAGTGTGATTGGCACATGGTACGTCACAGCAGTCATTATCATCAAGTACATCTGGCCTGACAAGGAGCTCATGCCTGTGGAGATCCCCACCAGGTGAGTGCAAGAGACCTGATGCTCATCGTGGCCATCACAGCACTGCAGAGCCAAGCAGGGGTTTGGGAGCGAGGGCTGCGAAGGCTGGGGACAAATCCTTCATGAGTCCCATCCCTGGGCCCAGGGACACTGCGCGTTGCTGCCAGAAGCTCCCAAGTGGCTGCATCTCTGCATATCTCAGAGGAGGAGGTGGTGAAGGAGAGGAAAAAGACCTCTTGGAGGTCCCCATGGCTCCATCGCAGGTTTTGGGGAGAGCTGATTGACTTTTACCTCCAATACAGCCAGGCC